CAAAGCCTTTTAATGCCATGTTGCCGCCTCACCTGCTCACGTTCATTGCTAGCATTCTTTGACGATGGGTGTGCATGTCGAGCAGTTCAAGCCTTGTATCCATTTGACTTGTCATAAGATAGTTCTCATTTTTATTCTTGCATTTGAATCAAAAACCTCTTTGGTTCATTATAGACTACGTCTCATCCTTCCCGTGGTTGATTATACTAAAATATTTAAACTTCCTAAGTTGGCTTTGGGTCGCCTTTGTTATTATTGAGTAGATATATATAGGTCGTGGGAGGAGTGGTCAATGGTTTTAGACCACAAGGTGTAGATAGTAGAAGACAATGGTGGAGAACTAACCTTTGATGAGCCGAATGGATGAAAGGCTTGAACTTCTCAGCATGCACACCCATCGTCAAAGAACGCTGGCCATGAATGTTAGCGGGTGAGGCTGTGACATGGAATTAAAAGTCTTTGTTAGGATATGCTACAGGCTGCGGCAATTTTTAGGAGAAATACTAGATGTTAGGTTAGGCATTGGTTGCTCATATATGCATAATTAGCCTAAGAAATGTTGTAGAATCGCTTGTACATGATAGGAGGGGGCTAATTGCTGTGTTAGACGTTGCCATTGTAGCTAAGGATTTCTAATTTAGGTGGCTTATGAGGTTGAGTGAAGGTTCTAGCTAGCCAAGGTGATGGACATGTGTGTTGAAGGTCAGGGAGAATAGGGCTTCTATGAGCTAACAAAAGGAGGATTTGCTTAGCCAAAAATGCGGGAGAGGGAGAACGGGACTCAGGCCTAGTTTCAATGAATTTTTTTAAATAAAATTTTAATGAAATATTTACCTTTCTAAAATTTAAAAGTTTTAAAATTAATTCAATATATAGTTTTGGAAAATTTTAAATAAATAATAAGATTTGGCTGAACCAACCCCAATTGATTAAACAAAGTTCATAATATGTGACAAGACTTACGATTGAATGAAGATTATGATTGTGGTGAGAAATAGGATCAAGCATAGATCATGATCATGATAAGATGCCTGATCAATTAGATATTGGGATTAAAATTAAATGCATACTGCGAACAAAGATCATGTTTGTGGTGAGACATGCACCATTGAACGTAGATTGTAATCATGTCAAGATGTACATGATCAAACATATATTATGATTTTGGTGAGACGTTGTTGAACAAAGATGGTGATCGTAAAGTGACACAAACAATTGAATGGAGATCATGCTTATGGCACGATATGTGATGCAACATAGATCATGATCTTAACAAAGAGTGCATGATCAAATAGAAATCATGATAATAAATAGACATATTATTAGATGGAGATCACAATCATTATGAGATATGAAAGATCGAACAAAGATCACGATCATGATTGGACACGTGCATGATTTAATGGAGATCATGCTTACGGAATGACATGTGATGCAACATAGATCATGATCTTAACAAAGAGTGCATGATCAAATAGAAATCATGATAATAAATATACATATTATTAGATGGAGATCACAATCATTATGAGATATGAAAGATCGAACAAAGATCACAATCATGATTGGACACGTGCATGATTTAACAAATAACATGATTGTGACAAGATGTGTGATTGAATCAATATTGTGATTGTGATTAGATATGAATAAAGATCGTGATTATAGCGAGATGCGGGATGGAATAATGATTGAGATCACAATAAGATGGGTATGATCAAATGAAGATTGTGATTGGTAAAATTCACACAAACTTGAATGAAAAATCATAATCATGGTGAGATGCCCAATCAACAAAGATCATGATTGTGGTGAGATGCACACAATTGAATGGAGGTCATGATCACTGCAAGACAAGCATGACTGAATGGATATCATGATGGTGGTCAGATACACAATACAATGAAGATTGTGATTGTGGCGAGACATGCACGATTGAACGAAGTTTGTGATTATGGTGAGATGCACTTGAACAAATAGAAATTATGAATGTGAGATCAAGTAGAGATCATGATCGTGACTTTTCAAGTTTTGCGGAACTCAATAAATTTGATCATCTCAAGGTTAATCAATATAAAAGAAAAATTTTTGGCGCTAAATTGGCAATCAATTATTACTTCATTGAGAATCTTTTATATAGTTGAAAACTTTCTTCTGTTCATGCATGGAATTAAATAATTGCTTTCCATTTACTAACTTAAACTAATGACTTCTTCTATTAAACTTCAACTTATTAAGATAACTGTTTAAAGCTCGAAAGTACATTTCTCTTATTAAACTTTTACTTAGTAAGATAACTGTTTAAAGCTCCTTTATGATTGAGGCAAAAGTCCATTTATCTCCTTACAACAAGTGGCTATGCCTAAAAGTAAAGGAGATTTGGGACTTCCCTCTCTCTCCATGCTTATTATCATTCATAAAACTAAGACTATTTGGAATTTTATCTATATTAATGACCTTCATTGATCATAGTTAAATGCTTGGTATGTTTTTATTTTGACATCACCTTTAAAGATTAATCAATTTTTATTAGTTATTTAAACATATATACATATATGAACTAGAAGGCATCACAGATCCTCTTAATTGAGTTTTAGTTCCATTTAAATTTATGTATTTAGGTATAATAATTTGGAGAACTCTCTAAATGAAAAAAAAATTTGACAGAAAAAAGTCTTATTTGATCTTTTAATGAGCATTATATAATGAAAGATAATTTGTTATATAAAAGAAATAGAAAATTTTGAATTAATAAACTTAAAAATTTATACTTGAGTTTTCAAAATGCTTAATCTAAAATTAAATCTAATAGTTCTAAAAATGTTTATTTTAAAAAGTTTAAACCTATAATTTATTAGAAACATATTTAAAGAAAGAATTATGATATGCATCCTATTCTATTTATAGCTTGAATGCTTTATGAAATATTGGTGTATTTGAATATTAGTCACAAATGCTTATTATATTCTTGCTATTCTTGGTCAAGTCCACTTGGGAGCCAGACTATATATATATATATATATATATATAAGACATTCAAGCTGATTTCCTCATCTATTTGCCACCACATATACAATAATATTATGGCATGGTCTGATTTCCCAACAGATCTCTTCCATTGCATCGCATCACAATTACCCAATGTAGACAACATTCGATTCTCCATTGTCTATACCTCATGGAATTTTGTTCTTTCCAACGATGTAACAAATGGAATTCAATGTTGACCCTCGCCATGACTACCGCTTCCCAGTGAAGCTGGAGAGGCCTCCAACACACTCATCG